GCCCTACGGGAAGAAGTAGCCGAAACTATATCAGCTAGCTCCTTCAAAAGACCGCTGGATAAGTATGTGAGTGCAGACGGCTCACCGCGAACATTCTGCGGTTACAACTGAAGGCATGTTCAACCATCAGTGTATCCCTTAGCCCTAGTATCTGCAGTAGGACCCATCTCCCCTCCATACTACAACAACAAACACCTAATTCTACAAAAGTACTTTTCGTTCTTTTTTTCCCATTCCCAACTTCCCCACTTCCACACTTCCTCACACTATATTCTGAATAACGCTTAACACTTACTTACAGGTGCTTACAAAATGGGAATTTCTGAAGGTTGATCGATTTTGACGGCGGCTTTGTTGTTAAACCAGACAAGCCAAACTGCAATTTACAAAAGACAACCTTCAAATTGACAATTGCGTTCTCTAAAGCTATGAGCAGGTACACTATGAAACTGGTCAAGCTCCACAAGTGCTTAAAAGCGCCACCCCTAGAGAAAGGGAGGAAGTGGCTCCCATTCTAAGTGGGGCACCAAAAGTCTCCTCGCTTGCACCGCTGCAACCCAGACGATCCAACGGAACTGAACAACCTGAGGAAATAGGTTGCGCTCAGGACGACTGGATGGAAGTGAATAAAGTAAAGGGCGGACTAGGACTAGTCGATGGATTCCATCACTCTTTTCAGCGCCCCTCAACCAACAGATTCTTGGAAAAAAGATAACAGTCTGGCAAGCAGAAGTAGGGCGACTACTGCAGAAAGTTGGGAATAGAAGCCAGCGCAGCCAGCTTATGCTGGCTTTCCCGAGTAAGCAGAGCCACCACCTCTCGGGGTACCAGCAATAATAGCAAAACAGTCGGAGAAGAGAACATACTGCTGCTGTCTCGCCGATCAGAAATTGCAGGCTCCTGCCCCATAAAGGCGAAACGAGGCAAACCTTGGGTCAGCAGGGAGGCGGAGGGAAAGCCGTCATTTAGTGATCTGCACGAATCTACAACCACGGAGGTGCATGGAATACCCGGATTGGCAGGCGGATCCACAAAGTGTGATAATCACCTCCGTGATGTTGAGCAGTGGAGGTGGTTAGCAGCAAAAATGGGACTTGTAAATTTGCAAGCAAGCAGCGCAAGTAGGTTACAAAGACCTATGCACTTGCAGAGCATTTCCTCACTAACACTGCTAGCTGTACGCTTTGACTGAAAAGCATCGCTAACGGAGGCTCTCACAGCATGGTACCGTGTATAAGACTGCATAAAAGGCCAGCTCAGTATGGTCTAGCAGTCAGAATTCGATGCAACGGCACACCAGCCTCCAAACAAGTACCCACGTCTCACTAGGCCCAGACCATAGCTCCTTGACATACTTCGACAGCAATGTGAAAGGTCTTGGGAGTAAACTACTGGAGCTAGAAATAACGTGCCACAGTCTGCAAGTAGATACAATTCTCATAACAGAGACATGGCTGTCAGCAGACATCGTGGATGAGGAAATATCTTTGTCTAACATGAGCCTGTCCCAAAGGGCAGGCAGTTCAAAGAAGGCGGAAGAGTTGCAGTGTATATTACCACTCACCTAAAAGTCAAGAAAGGGACCGTTGGTGTGTTCAGCTTACTAACAGGCTCCTTATGGTGCCGTTTCACCATAAACCGAACAAAGTACCCATTAGGAGTGGTACATAGTCCTCCCCTTTGGACGGCAGAACATAAGGCACAATTACTCAGTGCCATTTCAACAACCACCTCGGCAGCCTATGACCATGTAGTCTTGGCTGGAGACTTCAACACACCGGCACTCAACCCAGGACATGAAGTAATATGTGGGCATAAATCTTTCGGACAGAAACTCTGAAATACGCCTGTGGTAGCGGGACTGATAGAGAAGGTTGGGGAAAACACCAGATGGGGACCAAATGGAAAAGGACTACCACTCCACCGCGTTCTAACACACGATGATCTTTCGGTGGACTACTTCTGTGCCCACCCCCCCCCCAGGTAAGGGTAACCACGCACTGGTGAGATTCTCTCTGATAACCAAGGAGACCCTGCCAATAGTTTAGCCAGTAGCGTTCCGCTGTTACCGAAATGCAGACTACCACCTCATGAACAACGAACTTCTGGAGGCTGCATGGCCACAGGAATGGCACTCACTATCACTAGGCGAACACTGGATGCATATCAAAGATTTTATCTGGAGCGCTGTAGAAAGGTGCTCCAAAAATAACCCGACGCCCACCTCTCAAACGGTGTTGGGTAGGCCGCGCAAATAGAGAGGAAAAAGAAGGCATGGTATAGCAAAGAATCGAACTTTCATAGCCACAAGACGTTGCGCACCGTATGTAGTATAAGAATTCTTAATGACAGGTACACATACCAGAGCAGCCTGGCTAGTCAGTTAAGTTATAATCCGAAAAGTCTGTATTGGTTTATGTCACAACGGAAACCAACAAATAAGAGTTTAAGCCTGAGCAAAAGGCTGGCCAGAGGACCTTGGAACAGCAGTGAGATAGCGGAACTGTTGAGCAGTCGATTTGATGACCAACTCAGCCCAGGAGTGCGTCCACTATCAACATCTAGCAATGTAACGAAGTCCCAGGACTGATGAAAGTGAAGGTTTCGTCAAACCAAGTGCTTAGGAAACTTTCAACACTGAGAATGGGGAAATCACCGGACTGTGATGATGTAAAGTTGATGATCCTACGCAACTGTGCCGAAGTGCCAAGCATACCCATATGCAACCTGTTCACGCACTCACTAGAAGTAAGCCAACTCCCCAAAAGATGGAAATACACCATCCCTTCACCAGTGTACAGTCCAACAGCATTACTTCCTACACTTTCTAAGGCGCTGGAAAGCCTGGTTTCAGATGTTGTTTGGGACTACCTTAACAGAAACAACATCGTCCATCCCACCCAGCATGGCTTCAGAACCGGGCGGTCATATGCCACAGACTTGGTGACCGCTTGGGATGACTGGACTACTAGATGGGACAACCAACAACCAGTCCACGTTGTCTTCTAGGACTTGGCCAAAGCTTTCAGTAGCGTCCCACACCACATTATCGTCGCCAAACTTGCAAAAGTGGGTATCACTGAATCACTCTTAGTATGGTTTGCAACATATCTAGAGGATGGAGAATTCTGCACTAAAGTAACCATAATTCAATCACCCTGGAGGAATGCAAGAACTGCAGTTTCTCAAGGAGTCATCCTTGGACCACTCCTATTTTTTACTATTCACAGATAACCTCCCCATCAAAATCTCCTAATCTATCTTCCTATTCACCGATGACAGCAAAATGCGTAGGACGATGGGTGACGAAGAGGACCCCAGGATACTCCAAAACGGCCTGTCGCAGCTGGAGTCCTGGTCAGCTGCAAACGGTACAGACTTTAACCTGGAGAAATACAATATGATGTATCTTCGCACATCAGAGGCAATGAAAATCGACTACGCTCTTAACAAGTGTGCAATCACTAAGATATCCACAGAGAAGGACCTAGGACTAAACTTTTCTGACACACTGGATACTACTGGGAATTGTAAGGGAATGGCAGCAAAGGTGAACGCCATTGTGCACTTTCTAAGAAGGCAGGTTGGATCGTTTAACTCCAGAGTTATTCCTTATGGTATCTGAAACCTGTGTTAGACCACACCTAAAGGTGTTCAACACGATAGCCCCAGTATTAAAGAGACTCAAGTACTCTGGAGAAGGTACGGAGAAGAGTAACAAAGTAGGCTGTCGGACTAACGTGCAAATTATACGCGCGATGCCTCATACAACTCAACTCGTTTACACCAATCTATCGAAGGAAAAGAGGAGGCCTGATAACAGCCTTCAAGATCACCCATCAAGTGTACTACCCAAATAGGACAACTTTATCGCTCCAAAACCGACAGTCCCGCATACCCCACAATAGGGCAAAGATGGGAATGACAGAATGTACCTTACGGAACGCTCTGCCGAGAGAAGTGGCCACAGCCACATCAGTCAACTCCTTCAGACGACTACTGGATGAGTATGTGAGCACAGCGGCTTACCACGAACACTTGTCAGTAGTGACTGAGGATACACTCTGTCCTTATATTCCCCAATAAGACACGTCTCTTCTCCATATCATTACCAGTTACATTTATCTTTCCATGAGTACTTTTCTCTCCTCTTTTTCTCATCTTCCACTCACCCTATTTCTCGCACTTTTTAAGTAATGCTTAACACTTACCTGAAGGTGCCTGCAACAACAGGAATTGCAAACGATTGATTGATCTTATCAGCAGCTCCGTTGCCCCCCAAAAAACAAACCAAACTACAATTTGCAAACAAAATACCTTCAACCTCTTCAATCACTCAACAAGTTACAACTTAATAATCACAAGACATCTACCTCACCGAGGCTAAAAGCAAGAAAGCAAGGGGGGATTTCCTCGTCCACTGTAGGAGTGAACAGAACAACCCGAACCAAGCCCTTAGAACTAGACGTGAGAGATCAAAAACTATCAGTTTTCTACGCTTGCACTATCAATATTGGATATTGGAAGTAGACAATCACTACCTCCAGCTCTATAAGCAGGAAGACGCAAAGACTTCTGCGACCATCGAAGGAGTACAACCGAACAAAAAGAACCAGGACTCAAGACCTAGAAGCGAAGGTTCAGAAACTACATGATTTTTCTACTCCCACTTTTGATTTTGATGTTGAAGACTGAATACGTTGGCGCCCTAGTTGGTTCTCTTCTAATGTAACGTTTCTGAACCACCCATCCAACTTTGTTGTTAGTATTTTCAGACCACTTTGTTTCCTCGTGAACTGTTACCCTAAGTCGGTTGTCTTTTAGTAGTAAACGTAAGTACGTCCTATGTGCTTGCTGAGCCGTTAGCAGACGTTTTTCTCTTCCAGATTTCCGTGGTCTCCTCGAATATTACGTTCTGGGCGCTCCCTTGGAACAAAGTAGCCACAGGCTAAAAGTTGCACTTGGTAAGGCAGTTTTAACCTTCTTCATATTTGCAGGCCATGTACGGCATTACATCAGGATCTGCTCTACAATCGATTCCCGCATTCTTGAGCAAGCTGAAATTGCTGGTAGACGATGAGGAAACAAATGATCTTATATACTGGGACCCGGTAGGAATGCATTCACTCAATAACTGGTGGTCTAGCTGGGAACAAGTTTTCATATACGTGATGGGAATCGCTTGGCTAAAGAATTGTTACCTCAATATTTCAAACACAACAACTTGTCTAGTTTTGTAAGACAGCTGAATATGTGTAAGTTGAGTTTAACTCTCACTTTCTGTTGTAGATGGATTTCGCAAGATAAACCGTGTAGATGCATCAATGCCAACGAAATCTGACACGGAAGATATGGAATTCTCTCACCCTTTCTTCATTCGCAACAAGGATAGTTTACTATCGAAAATTCAAAGAAAAAGTTCAATCATGTGTTCTCCTGTGTTAGGCACGAGGAATCAAAACTTGGGTGTCAGAGTTCCTTTTTTCCAATCTAATGGAGGTGTAAATGGCCTCATAAGCGGTTCATCACCACACAGACCGATAACTGCGACTGACTTTATGAGATTGGCTGAAACTGTCCGACACTTGCGCTGCAACCAGGAGACTTTAAGCCAACAGATTGGCGTATTGAAGTCGGAGAATCAGCTGTTATACGTGAACTTTCTGACTTACGAGAACACCATGATAAGCAGTCACAACTTATTCAAACAGTAGGATTTGAAATTGTTAACTGAACATTTTCAGCTTTTCACATTCTTGTCTGCTTTCGCGAAAGAAGGAAGGTCAGCGAGTGTGTGTATCGGACAAACAAAACGAAAGGCTCTTCCTTCGATCGCTTCATCGAGTTCGAGGTTCCCGAATAAAAGTTTAAAATTAAACCTTCCGCAAGGTAATTTTACAGTAGCATGGTTGTTATACTTTATGTTAATATTTCGTTTCGCAATTAACTCATTTTTCCGGTAAGTACTACTTTTGAGTACAAGTGGTGATACGTGTTTTTCCCCTCGTAATTGCGGATGTAAGGCAAGTTTGACACCACAACATGTACTGAATGAGTAATAAGGAAATTAGGCGATTGTTACCTACAAATCAGGTATCCTTCATGCTATCATTTTTACTGATGAAATCCAGTACGTTCGTAGGCTACTAGAAATTAAAACCTTCTGCAAGCCTTTTTGTTAAAGATTCAGAAAGCATTTTGAGTTTATAGTATCTATGTTCTGTGGATGATATGTTAACAGTATTTGTAAGAGTTTCCGACGAAAATCCAAATTAGTGCCTGACATTCGACGCGATGGATTGTAAACTTTACTGTTGTGAAAAATTATGTCTTTGAAATGACGAACGCAGTTGGTTTATTTGCTGATTTACAGTAGGTGAGAGCGGAAAAATCTCGCTTTTCGTACCGTGCATAAAATAGCTCAAACTTTTCACTTTAGGTTTGTTTGGCGAGATAAATGAGAACTCTCCCAATGGTCTAGAAGCTGTGGTCATAGAAATTCGTCAAAGTAGCAGGTGGAGTTAGAGATCAGTCAGAATAGGCGTTTCGGTGCACAAGTTGAGTATGAAGTTGAGAGTTAACTTCCAGGTTTGCTAACCATCAAGACTTAGGGCCTAAGACGACAAGAAGCCAGATAGTATGTCCTCTTTTTTTCACCGTGCATAAAAAATACGGACAACGTTATATACTTGACAAGTAGTGGGACTGTGGCTTACTGTCGTAGACATGAATCTCAACCGATAGGTCACAGGTTCAAGCTCCGCTCCATCTCCCAAGTTCTGGGCAGCTAGATAGTACGATTAACCCACGCACTGGATATAGCTTGTTGTCACAACAAATTTGATCCATGGCCTAATGTATAAACATGTACCGATTGAGTCACGTTATATTGTGTATTTTTCGCCTGAGAATGAGCGTAAAACGATCATATGAAACTCAGGTTTTCATTCTGGTAAAGTATACTTGGACAAGGTAAATACTAGTTGACTGGATAGTATAGTGCGCAGCTTAGGGTCACAGTATGTTAAAAGGTGTCACAATTATCCTCTCCTATTTATTAAATCCATTGGCATAGGAAGCATGGATATAAGAGAAACGGTAGTCAGCATTCTGTAGTTGCATTCTTTCAGTTAATGCGAAGCAGTATTCATTTGTTGAGGAGTATAAACTTGATATTCGGAGGACTTTACTGTGCAAAGAATATAATTTTATTTTCCCAAAGATATCAGTCCTACTTGATATTTCACTTTAAATATAATGTCTAGTAATCTGGTGGCCATTATTTAAGGGGCTAACTGTGCTTTTAAAGAAGCTTATGCAAATAACGCACCTATAGTGAGCACCATGAACCTATGCTGTGGTTGAGAAGTAAGCTTAAAGAAAGGGCATTTCAGAATCATGTCATGGCGAATCAAGAGAACATGTATTATCTTCTCAACGTAGTTTCAATTGTTAATTGTTCCTAGTCTTGAATAGAAAACATAAAATGTCTAGATATGATCATGTATGATGAAGTTTATTTAATATTTTAAATCAATACTGATATGAAAGCTCTATTGTCACTAGTGAGACGTTACAATAGATTATCAGCAAACTTCTTAGTGAAAAGTCTACTCACAGTGACAAGTGTTTTGGTAATATTTCGAGTAAAGTTACTACCCGTGATCACACCAAACAGTTGTATGTAAACTTTTCGTTGAAGAATTCACTTATAATGCATTATTCCATTCCACAATGCACAAACTTTCCATTGATATTCGTTACAATAGACATAAGGTGGTCTCGACTGGCATCACGATATCCAAAAGTAGTCTGGCACAACCGGGTTTCTGGATTTGATTTTAGATCAAATGTCTTTGGTTTGTATATTACTAAATATTTTAACTGCAGTTAAAACTGTGGATGGGTAGTGGCTAGCTGTAGAATCTAGGACGCGCGTTTTGTCCCACTTTGTACCCATTAACTGGGATTATCTACATCCAGTGAGTGATAGTTTTTCCACTGATATTAGAATCCAGCACCCATAGCTTTAAACGTGGGAGCGTTACTCACTATGCTACTAAGTTGAAGATTTAGTTCTAGACGCCACACGTCTTTAATAGTTTAGAACGGTCAACAGTCTTCCCAAACTGCATCATGCTGCTCGATAATTTCGATAAAATCAAAGCTTCATATTCGTTAGTAATAACTTTCTACCTTGATTGCACTTTAGGTTTCCAACTTGACAGAAGTTCAGTCCAACCCTTTCAGCTTGTTCAAACCGCTGATTTACTTGGACCTTCACATAACGCCCTAAATTTGATGTACGAACATTATCTACAAGAATAGGCAATGGAAATGCAAATGGAATGTTAGTGCTCAAATTTCAGATATTGGACCAGTTGTCCAGGCCCTGCCATCAAATCTTCAGCTTACCCCTGTGAGTCTCCGTAGTGATGGTAAATATGTATATTCCCTAACGGGCTGTACATCAGAATGCGGTGGAATACACAAAGTTTGGTTAACAATGGTACTGTGAAAGTGCAAGATGTGCCAACCTACTGTCTTACAAAGGTAACCTGTTAGTTATTCTATTTCATGAATCCTAAAGTAACAATATAGTTATTGAGCATATCTAACTCTCACTAAATGTTTATATCTATGCGGCTATGACCTTACTTCTAGTAATACTTTATACGTGAATATTTGACTATCAGGATTTTTTTACTGGTTTTACTAACTTACTGATTTTCAGTAATTTATATTAAAAATGTTTGATATCGAACTGTTAATTGCTAATAAATGAATCATTGTTATTTTTGCGTGCTAGGTAGCAGTTCTTGTAGAAAAGACTTCATGAAAGGTCAATTTTTGTCGCATGAAAGGTATCGTAATTTCTGAAGATGGTTATGTAATCATCTCGAATGAGTCACCTAAAACATTGATAGAATTAGGTGAAATGATTGTAATAGACACTACAGAAGTACATGAAAACGCGACTGGTTATCGTTATCTGTATTTAATTTTTTTAAAAAATGATTTTGGCACGCAAACTCAGTAGTTTGAGCGTCAACACTCATTGAAGTAGGTGGTTAAAAGTCACACCAACTGTCGTGCACCCAGTTTCATGGTAGGTATTGACTTTAGTCCACTTTCATATCGTGTACCAGCTCATTGAAAACGGTTTCATTTTACTCCAGTTCATACTCAGAGGCATTCTTGAATAAAGTAATATTAATTGGTTTCATCAAAACAAAGTTGTAATGCTATATTTTAAAATGATTAAAAGCACGTTCACCTAAGTGTGATTAAGTGACTGTTCCCAAATAAAACTGGGGGGCTGAGTTTGCAGATTATTTGATCTTCTGGTTTGCGTGAACTATGAAATGAAAAGATATTTTTACTATTGTGGGAAACTCACTGTTAAGATAAACCTTAAAAAAGTGATAACTGTGTTACAGCATATAGGTATTCTACATTGTAAAGGTTGCTGTATGACGCTCCCTCCGATATGTAAGGATAATGTTTTTTACGACTGATGTGCAGAATACCACATTCCACTCAAACAATTCTATTGTAGTATCCTAACTCCCATATACCTAAAAAAAATCAGAGTCACACTTTACGCTTTCGTTGCACTCATCGCAGCAAACACTAATCGTCACATTCAGTTGTTGTCTTGTTTTTGGAACGGTAATATCGAACCGAATAACCACTGTTTCTTCTGGTTTTTACCTTCAGGTGTTGGCGCAACTGTAGGACAGCTTATCAGGTACCTGTTTGATGGATAACTAATTGTTTAGACCTATAATGTTATGGTACATTCTTTCAAACATTAAGGTCTTCTTAGTGCTTACTTATTAGTTGTCGAGAAACTTTCTTTAGATGTGAGTAACTCACAAGTTCAGTGAGCGTCTTGTGTTTAGTGGTTTCAGTCCTACTACTAAATAATCAAAGCTGATATAATTTTGACTATTAGGTGGCGAACATGAGTGTCTCGGAGATGAGTTGATCATACCTCTTTCTACACATTTGAGTTCTCTGGATCAGGGACACAAATTTCAGCCATTGGGTTACGTGTACGAAATTCTTCACTTAACAGGGTCGATTATTATCAGGTATCATACGATAGGCACGTTTTGTCCCCGTTTACGCACATTTGCACACCGTTGAGTTGAATGATGAGTGATGATGGTTCCATACGAAATTATTATGCAGACACCATCAAAATAACTCAAGGTCATATCTTTTTGAATCTGATAGGCACTTACTAATAAAGTTAGAAATACAATAATTTGATATTAACATGGGATCTGAAATTAGTGCATAACGGCACAAGTCACCACATCGCGTAAGCGCATCTATATTCAAAGCAACAGGACAAATGAAAATGATTTAGTTAAAAATCATTTAGAGCCACAAGATGGAAAAAGGGAAGAATGCGGTAAGGAAATGAATGTGATACAGCGGTTAAAATAAAGACAGCATATATGTAGCTGTCCTACCTTGATGGATTCTAAGGAATATCGTTTACAGTCTCTCCATCAGTTTATGATGTCACATGGACCCCAATATGAAAGCTTGTCTTTCCCCACATAACTGAAACTAAAGTTGCGACTTCATCTTGACAATCATTGATTTTTCTGCAACGTAACGCTAACCGACGTTGGTTCTTTCAGTTAAAGATACAGCGACTCATATCTCTGTCGCTTATTCATGTAAATATTGTGTCAGCTTCCCCTATTCTACCTGTGATTAGCATGTAGAGTTAAAACACAATATATGTGTAGCACATTGATGTTTTTTCATTTTCATTGTTCGTTAAGTGTAGGTTTTACCACTTTCCTTATGCTGTACTGATGAAAAGAAGGCTGTATCATGAGGTTTCTACACTACAAATTGAAGCAAGTTTGTTTCTTCTGTAGTGCGTTACCATGTTTTGCACATACACAGTCGTTCATTTCAGAAGTAGATTTTCATTACCTGTCTCATTTTGTAAACAGTTGATGACTAGAGGTAAAACTTGGGTAATTTTCGAGTTTTTTGAGTTGCTATCTCGTTCGTGTCGCTTTGTGCTGTTTATTATCCAAGTGGGTCTCCAAATCGACGTAGGTATTTTTTGTTTCAGAATAAGAAAAACTCTTTCTATTCACGGTAAGCTTTTATTCTACTATTTATCGTATGCTTTTTTATTGGTAAATCGACTACTTAGGGACTTTAATCATGATTAGTTCATGCTCATTTGTTCATTTTTCAATTGGAAGGTGGAGGATAACGCTTTTTATCCTACCAATGAAGACGGATTTTCAGGAATTCTTAATGTTGAGGACAATATATGTGGGGGGGACGTCGATACTTCTATTTTGGAACTTAACTGGCCATGTAATAGATCCAACACACCTTGTTCTCAGACAGATTCTCACGGTCTGAGTGATGTAATATCGACAAGGCTGGATGGTGAAACAGATGAAAGTATTTGTGACCTGTTTCTAAACTGTGACTCACAAAGTGAAGCGGAAGTAACAGACAACAGTCAACTTCTCCCACCGTCTACCTTAAAGTATCTAAAATTTGATCCCACTCCTGGTAATTCCCAAAATAAGTAAGTTAGTTGCGTAGTAATTCAGCTGCCTTATTTTCCACTGTAAATCTTTTGATAAACGTAGTTTCATTTGTATGTTTTGTTATAATAGGTTCATTGTTTTCCAGTAAAGTTGTGTGTTTGTGTCACCTTGAAATTTGAATTATCAGTTATTTTCCCGCTAGTAATATTTCTGAGGCAGATTTCGCATGTAAGGTCTGGTTATATTTTTTTACTCACAGGAAGGAAAGACAGGAGAAACTGTCTAAGGTTGTGCCTATTTCTCCGAACTGTACTACACCATTCTTAGAAGGTGATTCTGGTCTTGTCTCTACAACTCTACAGGACATCGATAGCCTGCCATGGAGAAGGATCAAGACGGTGGCTTCGATTTCAATTTGGATGAATGCGCTATTCCACTTGAAAAAATAATGTCTCTGGATATTAATCATAGTCAAACAGAAAATTCAAGCAGTTCCTCAAGTGGTCTCATAACGGGTACGAATAAACACTTCACCTTTGATCGTAACCTTGTGGTTAGTATGTTTAATCCCTAACTATTTATTTACTCTAGTCTTTTTGGATGTACACAACACTCGTTACTGGGCTGTTACAGTCTCTCGACTCTTTCGATCTCAATCACACAAATGTATGTATTGTTTGTTATCTTCGAAATCTTAGAATTTTTGACTAACCTACATTAATTTATCACCCATCTCATACACTTCTGTCTATTTTGATGTCATTATTTTCCCACTCACGTTTTCGTATACAGCTGTGAAGTGGGGTAACTGGAACTGACATACTTCTTTGCCAGGCTCTAGATTGACTCATTAGTCTGTTAGTTGGATGGAGGCAATCGACAGGAAGTCTTGGACTTTAGTTTCGTGCTTTTTGGCACTCATCAACAAGGCGTATCTGCAACCTCTACGAGACTGATGTCCCGCCTGAGATTCAAAACCACGTCACCCAGTGCTGCAGCCAAAGACGTTGCCATTAAGCTATTCGGGTCGCGATTGATCTCCTGTAGGACTTGATTAGGCACACTGGTTGGTCACTGGAGGGTAATCACTTCATGTTGTCTAGTCCTAAATGCTGATCGAATTCTGGGTCCGGGCTTCCTACCGACTGCTTCCATCCAACCAACATCTATCAAAGTGCATCGCAATGCTGGACTGCCTAGTCTGGTTGCCACATTGCAAAATGATCAACAGAACTCGATCAGCATTTAGGACTAGAAAACATGAAGTTTGTTACCCTCCAGTGACCAATCAGTGTGATCCAGTTTATTAATGTATTATCTACTAGGCAAGTAGAGAATCATAGGGTTTTATTACGTCAACTGTTAGACAAATTTTTAAAAATCGCACTCTATCAGATTTCGACCATTAAGTGTGTAGTCATTCAAATTTATCTTGTTTGTGTAGTAGCATTCAGTGTGTACATAGATCTCTATAGGTTACCAGTCGAGGTCGAGATACACTCAGCAGCCTTCTGCCCACTTGTTCAGTAGGTCATAAGCCACATCTAGTGTGTGAGGGCTAATGATACTGTCTGGCTGCCCCAAACTTCGGTAGGTGGAGCGGCGTTCAAATCTGTAACCTACTGGTTGATAGTCATCTCCCTAAACCGATAAGCTACAACTCCACTAGATTGACAATTCACATGAGTGGTCTGTTAAGTTTATCAAGGACCAGCAGCATGCACAATGCTAGTTCATAATACTTTAATACTTGCTTTTTTTTCAAGGTGTAAGTAAATTTCCAGTTACTGAAAGTTGTTCGTTTCTTTGTAAGGTGACGTAACGTAAGATTAAAAGTCGCATTTTGAAAATCTCGTTTTTTAATGAACTGTCCCTGTTTCATCGCACTTAATATTATCTCTCCTTCTTTTATAGGTAGTGAAATCATCCCAATAGAGGCTACTAATATTAAGGCATGTGATGATGTTATTCAGTTTTTAAGATCAGAAATCCCTGACAAGAAAATGAAATCGGGTGTTCCAGCTAAAACACTCATACCATCTACAGTAGATAGAACCTGCAGCCAAAGTGGTGCTGTAGATTTGTCAACTAATTCGTCAGTATCAACTAGTTGGAAATCAAAGCTTTCCGCTAATAATCGGCTCACAATATCTGCGTCTCCTAAAGTTAAACGGAAGCAGCGAGGACCAGTTTTGATGCGCAAAGAGTTAACCACCCTCTATTGACTTCTGGTGTATCATCCTGTGAAAGGGAACTTAAGTGATACAAATTTAGCGCTTCATTCGTGAGTGACTTACTACCCGTAAATTTAATGAATTATAACTTCTTAGTATTGCATTATACGCTTCATCATTTAACCGCATAAAATTATGTATATAACAGTAAGAGAGGTATTTTAATTAGGAAAATGAACATATCGAACAAGGTTAATTTTTACTGCATACTGTATCACTTATTTTTGTCTTGAGTCAGTCACATTATTACAAGTGGGTTGTAGTTTTATCTTGTACATTAGCTCAGTTATATCTTTTCTAGATATCGGTTCAATTCTGAATCTTGTTTACTTAGCTTAAAGTATACTATGGGGATAGTGGTACTTCAATTTCGTATTATTCTTCCCAGCTATTGTATTTACAAAAATGTTTTGATTGCTGGGGATTATTCCCCACTAGCTATGCAAATTTCGGCTGTTAGCAGGTTAACAGACTAGTCTGTTATCTAAAAGCACCCACTGGGCTGATTGTTACAGGATATTTGAATAAGTGAGCACCAAAAGCGTGTAGAAGATTTATGGTTTATCAGTATGATACTGTAGATATTTTGTTTACAGAAACCACTTACGAAAGCGGTGGGGTGCCGTCATTTAAGTCAAACGGTAACATGCTATCTTTCTCGCTGGTATGTGCACATCCACTTAGATGTGTATTACATGGAAATTCCAAACCGTATTACGAAATGCACCCAACCACCTTGTGCACATCCGCGTAGTATCCATTGAACTACACCTATTGTGTAAGGCCTAGTGACACTACCTGGCTATCCATGACGCACTGCCTGATAGTCACCTCCCTAAGTCATTGATCCACAAATTCACCAAACTGCATTAACTTCATATTAAAGTTTTCACCTGCTACTAACGCCTTCTAGAGTTGGTAAATTAGTATTTGCCTTTGTGTTACCATCACATATACCGTTTTGGTAATCATCAAAATCTTCATCCTAAAAGCAAATTTGTTACTTTTAGTGTTGCAGTCAGATACCGAACTGAACTAAAAGGTTGTTTATGGAGTCTGCAGGAAGTATAGATGACCATTGGCTGCAATTAGAAAACATCATGATGATGGTGAGTAAAACTGCTTGTTGCTTCGAAGAATGCTCCACTAATTAACTCTGAGTCTCTAGGAGCTTCTTGCAACCTCTTGATGCTCGTTTGTGTATTCCTACAAGCAACAAGAGTGAAAGTCTATTACGCGATAGATCACGCAACATTTAAATGAAGAATATTTATAAATCCCATTGGAATTTTACTATCTTTCATTTTTAATCAATTTACCCAATACTTAATTCATTCTACCCTATCATGTCAAATTTTGATCCTGAAGTTTATAAAAAGGAATGTGTAGTTTAATAATCAGAATGTACAAGTGAGTTGAAGGCAGCAGGTGTATCTGCCAATAGCTGAAGGTTTTCCCAGCAATAAGTCTAGTGTCAGTTGAGTGGTCTGTGCAGCAAATGGAACACCGCTTGACAGGGTCTTTGGACTTGGAATGCTGGGTGGAGCACTTCGAAATGGAACTCATTTAGTCCAATGCTCCAGGAACACTAACCTAAATGTATTGTGCTTCATGACTGGTTAACATCGACCTGCTTATTGAAACGGAGAGCAATAAGGAACCCCAATTTCTAAAGCACCATAAGACACGCGGTCTAGACAATTCACCCCCTGTTTTTTCTTATAAGTGAACGTGACAATGTAGTCAGAGAACTGCCTACTCTGGGAAGGTATGGCAAACTGGGAATATTCCATCCCTCTGAAATGAATTTATTGTCATATCCATGTTTAAAACGGTTTTGCTTGGTGTATCTATAGTCTTCTGAGTATCAGTCTGCTGCGAGTAACCTTTAAACTATTCTGAACCAACAGAAGAGTTATTCGGGGATGTACAATTTCAGCAATCCTCCTTAACTTTACCATCGGTGACCTCAAAATAGTTCTGAAGAAGTTTTAGTGGAGTTAATGTAAACCGACTACGTATTGAAAGACTTCTTCTTTGAGTATACTGACGTTATTATTTTGTTGTGTGACAGCATACAGTGTATTCATATCGTACTAAATCAGTCGGCGGTTATTTTCCTAAGTATTGGATGTGGTTTGCCCCATCAAAGGATAAAGTGTCTTCACTAGATTGACAGGAGCTTGCACATGTGGTGATAAACCATTGGAAGTCAAAGTTTGTGTTGGTGGAAGTATGACTGATAGTATTTTCACTTGTATGCTGAAAGCTAAAACGACATACGTCGACCTGAATCACCCTCCATGCTGTCATGACGTTTGTGCAACCATAAAAAGTTGAGTGTACAACACTCGAGAGGATGTAGTTCCCTTCTCTACCTTCAAAACCTAGCCTTTCCGAGCCAAGGATGTCCCGTAGTCTTGCGTGTTCGACCACTGTTGTCCTCCCAGTATTCCTTGCATCTGGCACAAACATCATATATGCAATTACGATGTCAGGAAGTGTGTTTGGGCGTGACTAAAATTGTCATTTATTGAGTGCAGTTATTCTGAAACATCAGCTTCAGCAGCTTGGATATGTCTTATTCGTGTTATACCGGCGGTTCCTACATCGCTCACTATTCGTTTGCCCTGGGACTAGTTGGAGAAAGCGAAGAGGTGTCCAGTGTATAGGATGGCGCTGTGGTATGAAGGCAACCTTTGTTGGGTTACCATGCGTCGGTACCTCATGAATTCATAAGGCAAGAGACCATGGAACTTTATACGTAGGCAAACGTGGCTAAGAATCAAAACCGGCGACAATCATGTCACGATTTTTTGTTTCTTCTGTTGTCGGAAGGTAAAGTGAAACTAGTGAATTCTTTCTTGAATGTATCGTCCAAACTGCGTCACTAATAACCCACTTGTATTTTTACTTCCCCTGTGTTTATTCCTTCCTTTTTATATCACAATTATCTCCTCTAAGTGCTTCTAAATTGTGTATTAGGGTGTATTTTTTGCACCCATATGCTTTTAATGAAACACCATACAACTGGAACTAATATCCCGATGCTTCATGTCTGTCATTGCCTACTTGTACTTTTTACTTATTCATATTGACCGTACAAAGTTAACTTAAATCAGACCATACCGTAACAGCTGAAAGTAAGGAGGTTAGTATTGAGAAAGCAAGATTTACTCTTAAAAATGTAGTTCAACAAACTATAGGTCGTTTTCATTTCGTACCGCGAAAATTTTTGTCGCTTACCTCCACCAGCAGTGGAATATTTCACACTTCAGAGGTGAGTAAAAGTCTATACTGAATGGCATTCATTCCCAATTCTCCTCCATTTGTTTTTACTTGGAAAATACCGAAGCAAAAAGTATTGCAGTAAGACTGCTATCCGTTTCCAGGCAACTATTGTTGGTTGATAATTAGGATCGATTATGCTCACTGAAAAGTATTTCGTCAACTTTCGGCGTTTAAATTCAGGATAATTTTTTGTTTTGTTGTTGACAGGCTACGTGAATTTATTCTCCCCACTCCCGGTTCACTTTTCTCATTCTGTCCTCGTGCAAACAATCAGTTGTTGTGAAGAATCCTTTGTTCACTTGGGAAAACAACTCACCTTCAGATGTTCTTTTACCTCCAATTGCAATCTTGTATATGGCCAAATCCAATCTACCTATTCCTATGTTTTTACCAATGATACTCACTAAACGATACTTTTTTTTTCTGACACTTCTCTTAATTTTTTTGCTTTTATAGCATAGACATATATATAACAATTGCTGTACCAAGTTCATTTTGATAGCTTTTTTCCCAGAGAAATATGTTGTAAAATCAACATGCATTTTACTTCATCGTACATTTTTTAATAATTTAAATAAGCTCTGTCATAAACAACGAGTTTTCTAGTTATATGTTGGGTAGATGAATTAGTGGACGCTTAGCATTTTATTATTATTATTAGTTTTCCCTTGGGTTCTTAGTGGAACATAGGGCTTCAGTAGTACACCTCCATTGCACTTTCTTCTCTGCAGTCTTTTTGACCTGGAGCCACGACTGCCCACAAGCTTTCATTTCTTACTCACATGTTCTCCTCCATGTCACCCTCAGCTGGGACGCCCAACTCGTCGTTTCCCCTCTGGGTTCCACTGAAGGGCCTGGCCTGGCTCATGATGTTCCCAGTCGGCCTTCTCAGTGTATGCCCAATCCATCTTCACTTTCTTCTGCATACTTGTTGGGTGATACGATCTTGGTTGGTTCGCTTCCAGAGTAACTTGTTGCTTATTCTTAGTATTCTGACCATCCATCTGATCTTGAGTATCGAGCGTAGGTGGCAGCTGTTGATGAATGTCTATAGTTTGTTGGAAGTGCTTTTCGTGACACGCCGAGTTTCTGTACCATAAAGCAGCACTGACTCGACATTGGTGTTGAAAATCCGGATCTTGTTCTTTGTGCTGAGTGCAGTAGATCTGCACACTGATTTCAGATTGATGAAAGCCTGTCTTGCTGTCTTTCCGATCCTGGTTTTGACATCCTCATCTGTGCCTGTGCCGCCTGTAGTTGAAAAGATGCTGCCTTGATAGGTAGGTAAAAGAGACTACTCCCTTTAGGTTTCTCTCATTGATGGTGATTGGAGCTTGTTGTTGTAGGTGGTGGTTGGGTATCTTCATCACCTCTGTCTTCTCCACATTCACTAGAAGTCCCGTCTTCGCTGCCCTGCCTCTCCTGTCAACTTGTTAGTTTCCGCCTGTAGATCTTCAAGTTTGTGCCACAAGACACTAGACATAAATCATCATCAGCAAAATCCAAATCTTCTAGGCTCTTTTTATCGGTTCAGCCAGCGTATGCCCATCTTCTCGCTCCTCACTGTTTGCTGCATGATCCAGCCAACCACAATCAGGAAGATTATGGGTGATAGTAGACAGCCTTGTTTTACTCCTGTCTTCACTTCAAAGGCGTCACTGGGCTTTCCATTGTGGATCACTTGGCATGTGGCGTCATCATATAGCCGCTATTGAATGAGGTTGGTGAAGATTTGTGGCACTACAACCGTAGTGTTGAAGCAGTTTCCAAATTACTTCTCGGTCGACGCTGTCAAAGGCCTTCTCAAAGTCGATGAGGTTGAGGTAGAGTTGAGTTGACTATCATTTTATATTCTGTTCTATGATTATGCGTGCGTAGCGTTGGAATTTGATCCACACATGCTTTGTACTTCCTGAAGCCAGTCTGTTCCGGTCGTAGTTTTGAATCCAGCGCATGCTGAATTATTATTGAAGTAAAGCCTAAAAGTCCTTTTTTTATCCCAGTCAATGTCTATTGTTGTGGACTAACGTATTATTTCGTATATGTTCACACAAAACACTATTGTTCGTCTATGTTTACACTTAACCAGCTGTGATTATTTGATCTTAATAGGCTATTACGCTTGACTATCTTACCTAATTAAGTCATTTTCTATGCAATTTCACTGGGCAGCTTCATCAAAAACAAAGTATTCTCTCTTCAACGAATTTATTCTCAAGCTATATACCATATTATATGACTGCATTTCGTGAGGAAGATTTAACCTAAATAACTGAAAGTGAATATCGTGACTCAGTGGTCTGGTGGATAACGCTCTAGCGTTTGAAGCTATCGGTCTCGAGTTCGAGTCCTAGTGGAAACAACATCGCTCACTAGGAGGCAGGTTCGCCCAGCTGACGAGTCCTAAACAGGATAAAACGCGCGTCCTGGATTCCACTGCTACCCACTATCTATCATTAATATATGTAGTAGGTGGTTGAAATAACAACAATGGTGGTTATAATGATAGTGTTACTGGCTGGTTACGTAACAGTTGGACGATAACTAGGATGGGTTGCGTAAGATATTTTAGGTCGTTTATATGGTGCATATTGACTGGAAAGGGGTGAAAACGTGGTAAAGTTTATAAACAGTCAAAGGACCAGGTAACATGCACAAGACAAGTTAGCCAGAAGAAATTGGAAATGTATTGTTAAAAGTTGCAGTTATTGGAAGACCAAATGAAGTAACACCGGAAACTATTGAATATAAAAATGATAATAACGATATAAGAGTACAAAGATTAATCTAATGAAGGGGGAAGTTGGAAAAACAAAAAGGAACGAAACAAACCAAGGTAGAGGCAAAGACCACCAGTCCTCCTAACTGATTGTTTTACGTTACACTGTGTAGTCTGCTTATATGTATTGAAAGTACCCTATCACGGCAACCAGCTTTTTTCATCGCTATTTAATAAATTATGCAAGAATGAGGCAGTCAGTTCGATGCAATTAAAAGTGATGTAAATATTCAACATGCATTCATATAATAGATCAGTTGACCGCCGTATGCAGTATTTTTATCAGTCCGGTATTTAAATATCAGGCAGAACAAAGTAGAGCACAATTGTATTGGAGTAAAACAGTTCAAAGAAGACGATAGCTACGTGCCTCGTTTGTTATCCTGGTGAGATTTATGCTAAGTGTCGCTGGGGTACGGGTAGTTTTATTTGAGTATAGGAAGGGGGGATTTACTTTTGGTGGTAATGGAAACACGGGTTGAGTTGAGTATTTCATCCTTTGTTACTTGACAAAAATTTGTCATCAGAAAAGCAGGGAATTTTATCTCTTTAAACAGAGTAATGAGAAGACGAAGGTTATTCGAAACATGTGATGTATTAGAGCTATGCATTGCGAACAATCGGATTGGTTATATGAAAATTTAAGAAAAGCACCAATTGAGTCAATAAGAAATATGATCTATAGGAAGCCTACATGGACATAACAATATTTTGATTTCCATAGCTACTATGGTTTAGTTAGATGCTTATTCAATAGGATAAACCGCATCTGGACCGATGACACGAAAGGGGAAGAAACCAAGTTACTGACGACAACACTGATATGGAGTGGCTGTAGGTTGAAATTTATCAACAAAGGAAAAATTATTTAGCGTTGAAAAATACCCTGTGTTCCGTTACTAAGATAACTGTCTACATCTTTTTGACAATTACAGGTGATTCCCAGAGCTTTATATTGAGATCAGGCAACTGTAAAACACATTATCCAGCCAAAGGCATTATTGTGAGGCTGAAGTTCATGCTACAACAAACGATTACATCACATGCTACCGTGTTTATCAATTTACATGTATATGTGGGAAAACATACACAGAGAAAGAGTAGTCGTGGTATGCAGTTAAGGGTGGTTGAATATGAACCTAAGTAGCTTAAAAAACAAATGACCTCGACAGTGCAGGTGACAAAAGTCCATCTTCATCCATTGCTAAACATACTAAAAACTAATCACAGGGTAGACATGAAAACAGTTTTTAGAGTATGCAGAGGAATCCAGGACGCGTGTTTCGTCCTTCCCAGAACTCGTCAACTAGGTTCATCTGCGCCCCAGTGAGTGATGTTATTCTCATCGAAGCTCGAACCCAATACCCTTCACTTCAAATACCAGAAAGTTAGCCGCTGGGGCATGGTGGCCACCCACTGAGGTCGGGCAATCCGGCCCTATAGCAACGGTAAACTATAGTTATCATAATAAGGGTCGATACTGGTTGTCCTGTCTGGGACTTGAGCCGGTGTCACTTGATGCTGTAACCAGATACGTTACCGTACAGCTACTCAAGACAATCCGGCCACCTTGAATAACTACTGGAACTACCAATACCCCTGTTGTACAATTTACGTCTGAGCCTAACCGATAGTACAATTCTGCAAAGCATATGTTTATGTTTTATCTTAGGGAATACACGCTTGTTCTGTGTAAGAACTACCACTGCCCACTTCAGACCAGTTTATTTCTGTGACTATCCCTCTTGGAGGCTTTCCACTGATAAATTGCACGATGCTTGTTAAAGATATTTCTAGACCTTGACAACTCTTACTCCTATGGTCGTAGTGATTTTAGTGTCATCACAGTTTGAGTGTATCTAGCTGTTAAACTTAAAGAGTTTTCAGTCTGCTGTTTTTTGGTATCGTCATAGGTAACATGAAAAGTGGTAACTGTTTATCTCACGTAGAATATTATAGATATATGGAAGAATTTTAGTGAGTTATTTCAGTGTTTTTATCTAGTCTTATTTTATGCTTGTGTTTTTGATTATTTATTGGATATTATGCTGTTCAGCAGCAGTTCTTTGCTTTTTTTTCTGGTCAAATCAACCTACATATTTGTACAACATTGTAAATTATGGCTTATGCAATTCCGTTGTATTTTTGGATGGGTTACTGGGATGAATGACTGTGAAAATCTTATTTGTTTATCAATTGAATTTTGGAGGAGAGAGCTATTATTAAAATCGACCATTTCCTGTAACCTAAGACAATCTTTATATATTGTCTATCAGTTTTCCATTTTCATGAATCATTAATCATCTCTTCTGTTCCTAGAGTGTTTGCTGTAAAGATAATGTTCTCAAAAGACGTTAAAGATCTGATAAGCTTACGTACTTCTACAATTCTCACAATGAATTATTCTACTTATCATATTTCATGTAGAGTTGCAATTCTTTGAGATTGATATACATGGGCGGGATCAGAGAAGCTGAAATTTACGTGTCCTGTGTCCGATGTTC